CAAAATTGTAGTTTTTTTCGAAGATCAAAAATTTTTTGCTAAAAATTTCTATGATCAAAGTCTTTGAATTTTGAGCAAATGTTTTAACACTAAAAAAATTAATCAAATAAGCCTAAATTATTTTTTATAAAATAAACTGATTATTAAAATTAATAAGCGAAAATCGTGAAAACACTAAAAATAAATCGCAGTTGCTAAAAATACAAATTGATTTCTTTAATATTTTTTCACAAATTGTAAAAATAATACTTGATTCATTTCTTTAACATTTATTTTTCTAATTTAAAAAAAATTAATTTTTTGTATTTTTACTTGTCTTTAAAAATAAATAAATTTTTCTAAATGAAACCTTTAAAAGATAAGCTAAATTGTTGCAATCCACTGAATAAACCAAAACATAAAAATTTTAAAAAGAATTTACTCTATTACCTTGGATGCTTAATATAAATAGTGATTTATATCTTCAACAAAAAATATCTAATTCGTGCCGCTACCAGTTAAGTAAAATTGGTCCACACATTCCCGAAGAATTTATATCCCCAATAACCTATAATCAAGATGCCTTTTAATCGATTAATGAAACATTCAGTACACAATATTGGAGAATCACTAATTAAAAAAAAACGTTTAATGGAGAAAAAATATCCTTAAAATAAAATTCAAAAGATTGAAAAAGCAATAAAGACTAAGGTTTTAGAAATATCTGATTCTGAGAATGATATTCCAATGAAAGTGGAAATTCTTTGTATTAAAAGATAACTTTGATAAATTATTAAAAAATTTACAATATTTCTTACAATTTTGCCTCAAAGATGGAGTGTAAATAAAATTCAAGAGGAATTCAACGTAACATCAAACATGGCAAGAATATCCAAAATGATGGTAAGAAAGTGGAATTCTTTCATTCCCAAAACATAAGGCAGGAAAGACACTAAACGAAAGCATTTAAACTCGTCAAGGATTTCTATAGTTGATGAAATAAGGCGACTCATGCCTGGAATAAAAGATTGTGTATCCGTTAAAGGCGAGAAAGAACCAGTCCAAAAAAGACTAATATTAAATAATCTTAAAGAAATATTCAAGATGTTTAAGGAAGAATACCCAAATATATCAATTAGATTCTCTAAATTTGCCGAACTTAGGCCAAAAAACTGTATTTTAGTTGGAGCTAGTGGCACACACACTGTTTGTGTCTGCGCCATTCATCAGAATATGAAATTAATGACAATGTAATAGCTGAAATCACAGCAGGATAAGATTTCTGTATAAATATCTTTTGGCGCAAATTATTTGTAAGCCCTCTCATCCAAAATGTTATTTAACAAATTGTGATCAATGCCCTGGTATAAAATCTCTTAAGGGCCAATTATACTAATTGTTTCAGAAAAATCATATAGAATATGTCACGTTTAAACAATGGATCACGGAGGATAGAACAAATCTTGAAACTATTATAAAGTCCGTTGATGATATCATCGATTTTCTATTAGAAAAAGTTCAAATTATACTGCTCCACTCTTTTATAGCTAAACAACAAACTTTATTTTGAAGAATTCCAAAGAAAATTTAAAATATGGGGAATTTTTAACAATTCTAGATTATTCTGAAAATAATTCCTTCATTTTACAAGATGAAGTTCAGGGATTTCATTGGAACAACGTGCAAACCACTATACACCCATTTCTAGCATATTATAAATCTGGAGAAGATTTAAAAAATATAAATTTTGTTATTATATCCGAATCATTAAACCATAATACTAGTGCAGTCAAAATTTTTTTATTAATTTCTTAACAGCCAAATTTAATTCTAAATCAGAAAAAATAATATATTTTTCAGATGGAGCCGCGTCTCAGTACAAGAATCGCAGAAATTTCCTGAACATATGCCTTCATACATACTTAATATTCCTGCCGAATGGCATTTCTTCGCCACTGCTCACTGCAAATATGCATGTGACGGTATCGGAGGAACTGTCAAAAGATTAGTTGCCAGAGATGTCTTCAAAGGCCAAATAAAAATCAAATCCTAACTTTATTAGAATTATATAATTATGCAAAAAAAATATTAATGGAATTCAATTTGAATATATATCCAATCTAGAATATATCGAAGGAAAATTAGCCCTTCGCAAAAGATTTAATTTTGCACTTCCCATACATGTCCCAAAATAAACTAAAAACCAAAATATATTCAAATTCCAAAAAATATAATATAAAACAAGTTTCGTTTTTAAATGAGAAAATTATATTTAAAAATATTAATGGATATGTAACATGTGTGTATGATGACAAATGGTGGTTAGGACTTATAATCGATAAAAATGATACAAATGAAGAAATAAAAATCTGATTTTTACACCCTTATGAACCTTCAGCCTCATTTAAATTTCCTCTGATAGATGATATTTTAGTGTTGCCCAAATCTAATATTCTCTCGCTGGTCAATCCTTAATGATCAAAATAATATATATTAAATTAATTTATCAGAAAATGATCAGTTCAACCCATGCTCTTCTTCTATTATGATATCACTATCTGCTGTTTATATATTTTCATTTTCTAAAATTTTAGGAGTAAATAACTGAATTATTATGCAGTTAGAGGCCAATAAAGGCTGTCCAAAGCCCAACCAGAGACTTGAATCGGGTTTGGACATTGAATTAATTTTTCTTGGGCTCAGCTGTAAGAGGTGTCCAACCCGAAGCCTAGCCCGATAAATAAATATAAAAAATTAGAGGACTTGCTTGAAGCCAGATAAACTTGACTCATCATTATTTATTCATTATAATTTTTCTATGTGATTCTATTGACTGGTCATTCCAGTACAAATCAACCTGTGTTTTGGATGACCATCTTAAATATTAATGAAACTTGGCATGTTAATTATTTATGTTGTAAATTTTAATAAAATCAAAATTTTGGATCGTTAGCTCTTATTCGCTAGGAAGTTTATTACCTTTATGTTTAATTGTTTAATAAGAAAATCGGTCTTATTATTTAAGACTATAGTCTGGTCCTGTCTTTTTTATAAACATACTAAAAAAGAATGAATACTGAGGAGATTTATATTTCTTTTTTATATCCCCATGGACCTTCACATCCTTCTTTTACCCCACAAGTGACATAAAAATATGTATATGAAATTTTCAAATGTTTATTTTGAAATATAGGTTCTAATCATCATATGCATTTGTGCTGCTTGCTTACATCGCCCCAGGACATATTTGTTATATTCAATGAATCTTTTTTATTTTAATACCAATACAATTCATATTTTTATTAAATATATATATTATAATCATTTTTAGATATAACCCCATCTATGTTATATTTTTTAATAATAATAAAAATGTAAATAAAATTTCAAAAAGAAAAAATTCGGATTTTTTATTAAACAGTTAAAAATAAAGGTACATTCCTAGCAAATATAAACACCCAAAAAATAACTTCTCAACAATGTTAATTTTTTTATTTTACCGGGAATAAGAAAACATAAATTTGTGAATTTATATTTTCCAATGTAAAATTTTAACGGCTATAAAATAATATATAATTTTAACTCTATCTTTTAAGAATTTTTTTAAAAATAAGATTTAATGAAATCACACATTGCGCGATTTTCGACTTTTAAGGGCATATATTTTTGGATCTGGTTGAGCTAGCCCTCTAAAATTTCGATTTTACTAAAATATACAGCATAGATATCTATCATGTTTATTTCATTTATTTTAGAGCTCGTTTTTTGATCGATTTGGCATGGAATGACCCAAATATTAATTGTATTTTATGGTAATTAACTTTTCTACTCATTTATTGCTAAGTCTATGGGTTCTTTCAAAAGACCAAATTCTCTCCGAGGCAGCATTTAAGGCAGCATTTATTGAAGGAATCGATAAATGCTTTATAGCAATCATACTTTTATAATGTACCGACAGCCCTTTACACCATATGAGAGGTTGAACATGCTTTGCACTTTCCCATATTTCCATGTTTTCCCAAAAGCCACTTTTTGATCAAAATTCTGTCTGATTGACATAAAAAACTCTTTGAATTCTTCAATTAGGGCATTGATTGCAGTCATGCCAGATGATATCTCATAATTAGTTCAATTAAAACGAGGATAAAATATTTTAGTCGCAGAATGAATATTTTGACAACAAAACTCTTTGCCGTTTTTCAATGACTAATATATTACTGATCACTTTCACCAACAAAATTTATATTAATTTTTATTGATGTTGAAATAATAGTATTGCTTGTCCGCAGTAAGAAGATCGGTTTACCTCTAGAATAGTTGTTAAAGATAATTATTTGAAACCCAAAAATCACCAAAATCGAATAATTTTATTTGTAAGATAAAAAAATAATGAATTCTCAATCATACAACTTTTTATATCCTACAATAAAATAAATAATATGATGAGCCTATTGATGGTTCAGAGTATTATTAAGCTCATTCCAAATAATGAGTTTGTGGAGTTGGAGTTTTGCCAACCGCTTATACACTCTAAATACTAAAGATTTAAATTTTAAATATATGATAAACTTCTAAATGTATATATCAGGGATGATATAGCCTATTCAAATTTTGGGAAAGGATAAGCAGAGGTAGATAAAAATATGGATACAAAACATTAATTTATTTTATAAGCAAGCAACTAACCAATAATATATATGATTCGACCCAAAAATACTCAAATGGTTTGATTTTTTATGATTTATTCAAATTGATGTCCAAGGAAATAATCTATTAAACAAATTTTTTAGAATACTACTATGAAAATTATAATAATTTAAATTTTTTTTATATCAATACCTTTCCTCTAGTGGTATTATTATTTATCCATTTTTAAATAAATTATTTTATACAATATAGTGATAAAAATATGATTATTTTATAAACTACAAATACAGAAATAAAATAAATTTAATTGAAATGAAAGGGGTAGTGCTACTTTGTTAATTTTATCTTATTTAAAATTTAATTTTACTTATCAGGTCTTGTCGTGCCTCCGCCTGACTTTAATACAAAGCCACTTATGAATATAATCCAACCTCCTCCATTTCTTTTAAATCAAAAAATGGCTAGTGTCACTCAAACAACCTCCGAAACATTGGTTGCAACTAGCATTAAAATTGAACCTGATATTTCTGGTTCTAATACGAATGAAGGTTTATTTAAAATCTATAAAATTTAAGAAAAAAAGAGACAAGAATAAATATAAGATAGAGCATAAAATTATTTAGAGAGATAGATATGATCTTTGTAAAGAATTGCTAAGATTTTTAGAATATATAAAGTGTGCTGCAGACTGTATACGATTTAAAACCCTTGCTATTTTTATAAGGCTGGATTTTTTTACAAACATAGGAGGCCATGATGTTAAATGGCTACATATATCAATTTTATATTATTGTGTTTATCTAAACAGATATGACGGATTTGTTTCCAGGATTTGGTGGTAGCGATATAGATATGCGATCTGCTGGGAAAAGGCATCTCCAACAAAATTATACTCAGCCACCTGAAAGTGTTAATAGAGTTGATAATACAGTTTTAAAAAATTAAACATATTTTTATCTATAAGGAAATTAGTAAGTTATAATAATTAAATTCAGATATTTTAATCTTAATTTTTGAATATAGAGTGCTCTGAATAATTAAGACTTACTATTGATTATTGTGATATAATATAACCCTGTTTTATTCATTTCACCATATCAGTCTGACTCTAAAAGGAACAAAGTGGACACTGACCACGTCATCAAAAATCAAGATGAGAAAAGTCAACTTATTCAGCAAGTGCTTAAGTTAACTGATCAGCAAATCGCTCTTCTTCCTCTTGATCAACAAAAGAATATTCAATTGCTAAAACAACAATTGACCAAGACTTGTCAAGCATAAAATAGACTTGATATATTTTGTTAAATATTCTTAAAACGGTCTCAAAATATTTATTATATGTTATGAAAAAATATAGTATTTAGAGGACTTGTGTTCCAAAGTTCGTTTATATAATGTTTATAATAAATTATCATTCACATAATTTGGTTAGGATTATCGAGCCTAGTAGTCACACAAAAAAATGGTGTTGAAGCATTTCAACATCATATTAATCTCAATGGGCGGTAACCCGACAAAATTTCTTAGACCACAGGTGGGCGAGTGGGTTAAAAAAAGAATTTTTAAATAATGAGCTAATTATTTTGCTAATCGGGTGCCCACCCATAGAAATAAAAATATTTTTTATTTTCCTTAATAATATTTGTTTAAACTGATAAAGTTTATTTGAATGGTTATAATATAAAATACAATATATTATATATATAATATTTTTGTCATTGTTTCCGAGATATATTTAAAGTGAAATCTTTTACGTCCCACCCTTCACAAAATAACTTTTGATAATGATATCCTGCTATGGAGGAAATGCGTTGATGATGTCCCGAATCCAATAGACAGAAGGATTGAGACATGCCAGTTGTAGCATGCTGCTTTGAACTTTTTTACTTAATGTAGCTGGGCATAAATTTTCGGATGTCATTCCTTCCAAAAATCTTCAACTAATCAACAATGAGCTAACTCACGATAGGAATTTCGTCTAAATTGTACAATAATCTTTCCTCACTTCTGCTTTGGCTGCGGCCCTCAGGCAAAGGAAGGCACAGCTTACATTGCAGATTTTGCAAAGGACGAATCCTCAGACATGCCCAATGCAATTTTTTGGTTCAGCGAACATTGAAATCCGCCCAATTACCCGATTATACTTGAACAATCAGGACTTTTTAGATCCGATGGAAAGCGGCCTGACGGAATCACGATCCCATGGAAACGGTGGTTTGGGAGTTGGGACTATTCTTGTATAGATCCATTAGCTTTATCCAACCAAACCAATTTGAGCAAAAAAACAACATAAAATTTCCAAATATTCTGAAATATCAAAATATCACATTTTTATCCCAATAATATTCACTATCTTAACCTCCTTTGGTAAGCTTGCATTTCAAGGGTTTAGGACCTCACACCCGCAAGCATACTGGCGATTTTTTAGAAGGCGTCTTTCTTAGACAAAGACTGGCTATAGCTATCCTTAAAGCGAATTATCAAAGTTTCAATGGCAGACTTTACTCTACACAACTTCGCTAGACTTTCTTCCTTATTCTTATTATCTTGCACTATATTTTACCTTTATATTTTTTAATTTGGAATGGTTTTTTTTTCGCTTATAAATTTTGTATTGACTTTTATTATGAATAATAAAAATATATTTAATTTTCTACATTCATTTTAAAAAATAATAATTTATTTTTATATTATATCTTGCAATTTTATTTATATGCGATTTGAATAAAAAAATAAAGTACATTGTTATTCAATAAATAAAAATTTCTTAGAAATTAAATTTCATATTACTTACCTGACAATATAATTTTAAATACAATGTTTGTTTATTGTATTTATGACAGCAAAACTTATCTAACTTTTGCTGATCATATTTCTATAAGTAATATTTTATCAACTGCAATATTGTTGACGATTTTTTAAAAAAGTGAATGTGAAATCTAGGCAATACTAGAATAAAATATTTTCTCAAATTATAAAATATTTTGAATCATTTTTTTTGTTAGATATTTAAAAAATTATGAGAAAAAGTGTGATTCTTAAATAATGGGCGGGGTAAAAATTTTTAAACCAATGGGGGTATGGGCGAGTATATTTTTTTTTCAAAAATTTGGGTTAAAATCTTTTTAAAACATAGAATGGGTATGCTGATCCCGCTCATTGCAGACCTCTACATCTCATGCCAAATATATTTATATGAATTTTATAGATAATCCATATGAATATTTCAAGCATTTATATCAAATCATAATTTGAATGGTTTCATTTTAAACCACGGTGGATTATAGAAAATTAATGTTTATTTAGATCTATATCAGTAACATTCCTTATGCTAGATCTCAAAACGCAGATGTAAAAAGAACGAATTTCATATATTTGAATAGAATAGTAAATATTTAAATGAATTGAATAACGCATATTTAGTTAATATATAAATTAAAATGACGATTCTTAAAATCTATGTGACTATTCTAAACTAATAATGACCCTAAATAACAGTTAGGTAAATTTTATCGGCAAAAAGTATGATTAACATTTTAAAGTTATATTTAAATGTTATCAAATTATGTTTTTCTAGAGGTTAGGCGTCCGCATTAATGTTTTCTTGGGGATTCTCATAGAATCTTCCTGTTATATCAGGGTCATTCCATAATAGAACGACCAAAAAACGAGATTTTTGACTATCATACTTGAAAAAACTATAATTAATTCGGAGTTAGGCTCCTAACAGTGTCTACGAGCGGGAGGGGTGGTTTGAACAGTCTGCATCCAAATATTTTAAAGGGTGGTTGGGTAAGTGTCAACATTTTTGAATGATTTATTGATATAATAATTTATAATAGACCTATATAATATAAATGAATCGACCATTATATTTTCCAAAAACAAGTGAGAATTATGACTAGGAAAAAACCAAATAGAAAAATGTTAGGGATTATAATTTATATATTCAGGCCAAATTTTTAGAGTAATTTGAAATTCTTAAAACTGAGAAAGCACCTGTAGGACAGAGCTTTAAATGTTTATTTATACAAATTTTTTACACCATATATAACTAGGATTGAAGGTCGAAATATTTGTGTCCTAATATTGCCGGCTCAAATTTTTTTAAAAATATTTCAAACATTGAAATAAAAAGTTACACATGCTCATCAAGTTGTAATTTGATTTAACTTAGGCTGCATTCATAGTGGAGACGGATCCGTTTTTACATCCGTTCCGTCAAAAGTCAAACTCATTAAAAATGATATAAATGTTCATAGACTATAAAAAAATTGTAAGTAACGTTATAACGCTCTATAAGATTTGCCGGATCAAAAAGTCAAAATGTCTTGACTTCAAAATTTGCCGGATCCGTTTTTAAGACGGAAGGTATCGGAACGGACGCACTATGAACATATATATCATTTTTAATGAGATTGACTTTTGACGGAACGGATGTAAAAATCAGATCCGTCTCCACTATGAATGCAGCCTTAGCGTCTTGATTAGATTCCCAATTTCAAAAATGACTGAACAAAATTGTTTATCGATTGATTTTATTATAAAAGATCTTAAACTACATGATATTCAATATTAGTAAATGTTGAGAATAACAAACCCTGATAAATCAAATACAAGCTTATATGTCGAACAATTCTCATCGGAAAACGATATCAGCAGGATATAAATGTTCTAAATTTTTGAAATGGAAAGAGGAATGTCCGCATCTTTCCATACATTAAGATTTTTTACTTAATAATTTTTTTTACTGTTTCTTAAAAAAATTCAATTGGCATTTATCATAAAAGGTATAATAGAGATCTGCAAAGCCCGGCTCAAACGGACTATGGGCCTATTTTAAAATAAATTTGGACCAGCTTAAATATAATATTTAATTTGAAATAAATTGACATATTTTCAAATTTTTGGAAAAAATAACGCTAATATTTTTATTTGTAGAATATTATTTTTACAAGTAAAGAAATATTAAAAATAAAATAATTTTCTTTCAAAATAGGGATGACAAATTTATAATTTTTTTTTGGCCAGGCTTGAAAAATTAGGCCCTATTCACATCATTAATATATATTTAAAAAATCTCACGTCGATTCAAGCCATCTTTGATGATGGTGACTCACAGGCCATCGATTTGTTTCTAAACATTGTACCAGCCAGATAGTTTTATCGACGTGCAGTTCTATACAGGAGTTCGAACCGAACCGCCAAACCGGAATGAACCGTTATGATTTTCTGAACCGTAACCTTAACCGAACCGTTATAAAGAAAATATAAAAAGAGCGAACCGAACCGTTATAAATATTTTAAACCGGTTCAAAACGGTTTTAAAAAATAATTAATTTAAATTTTCCTTGAGGGAAGTTTATAAATTGGTGATTTCTTTTCAAATTAAATATTTTTATATTATCAACATTATATATCAATTAATACCAAGTTTATTGTTTTTTTCTTTAAATACTTATTTTATTAGAGATTAGGCTAATTATCTGTTAATTAGATAAGATATCTTAAAATCACACATAATTATTCTTGGCTAAATTAACAAGTTTATATATATATATAAGTTATTAATAAGCTTTTATAATACTTGCTAATAATTTAGGGAAAAATTAAATAAATCTACTATTAATAACTAACATCTAATAGAAATCAAGTACTTTTTACATTCATTTTTATATTATATGGTTTATTTTTTATCTCATTATAAAAACTTGGACCATTGAATTTAAATGACAATAAATAAAATGGTCAGCAATATTTTAATGATATGATAATTTTTTATTAATAATCATATTGTTTTTTTAAATTCAGAATTCTAATATTTATTTAAGTCATTATAAATTATTTATTATTAAAATAATATTTTTAACATTTGAAGAAAGAGAGATCGCCAGAAAACATCTTTGTAAAACTTGGAACTTGATACAAAGTCTAAATAATCAGAGTATTGAAATTCTAAATACTATGCCTACGTGTTCGCATTCGAAAGATAATTTAGATGATGATTTATTAAAGTGGCATAAAAGTCTTAATAAGAATAATTCTCAGGGCATAGAAAACTATAATAAATGTATAGAAATAGAATATATAATTCGGTCATTCGATAATATAGAGAGATTAGAAAAAGATACTAATCTTTTGAATTATTGGGAAAATGTAAAGAATAGTATGCCAGAACTTTATAAGTTAGCTATAAATGTGCTAGCAGTTCCAGTTATCCGTAGAAAGAGCATTTTCTAGCCTTAAGTTTATACTCTCTGCGCAGGGAACTAAATTAAATCCTGAAATATTATAAAATATTTTAGTCATCCGTTCTAATTCTCTTTTTAAACATAAATAGTATACCTTTTATTATATTTATGTGTTATTTTATTCATCATTGTATTTAGTCATGTTTGTTTTTATCTTATTTATTTATGAAATAAAAAAAAATAATTTGTCTAATTTATATTTACTAAGTTTAATAAAAATATCTATTAGATTATCATGGTTAAATTAAATAAGGAATTATAAATTGAAAAGATTTTTCTCTAAAATTAATATATACATGGTTAATGATTAATTTTTTTTAATCAAATTTATAAAAACCGGAACAAACCGAAATGAACCGTTATAAATTATAAACCGAACCGATATGAATTTTTTAAAAAAAACCCGAAATGGAACAAAACCTTTATGAAATTTTAAACTAAAAACCGGAACAACCCGAACTATGCTTAACGGTTCGAAACCCTGGTTCTATATGATCAACGCATCAAGTTTCATTAATTTTAAAAAAGGTCATTTGGAATCACCTATCGCACTTTACTTAATCAGTGATGAGGATTATTTTATTAACTAAATATATTTTTACGTTCAAACTGCCAATTTTACGTACAAGATATCATAAATAAGCAAATATCCTGCTTATAATTGAAGAAAATATATTTTTCCTTCAAGGAGTAAGAAAAATTAGTGTTAATACCTAACTATCCCCAACTCCAAACATAATTGAGAGTATAGAGATTAGATGTCTGAATTAGATAGTGGAATATGAATAAGAAAATTATATATTTTTTTATGAGAAATAAAAATACTATGTAGTTTATAAAAAAGGTGGTGGATGATAAAAGAATTTTAAAGCGAATTAAAACTTAAGGATATTTGTAACTTTTCATTTCTGCAAGAATTGTTTAGGCTAAAAGATTTGCTAAGTCATATTGTAGTTGGCCAAAGTTAGGCAATTTATTCAACAACACTCATTCTTACATTTAAAAATATAACTTATTGATTAAATCATAAGACATTTATAAAGATATCTATTTACACATTATTTAATATTTATACAAAATTAAAGCTTATAAAGATTTAAAATCCTTATAAATAATTTTTTTGTCCAACAAGATAAAATTTAATCAAGGAAATGTATTTAAAAAATATTTGAGTATTTTGGCGACTATATTAACACCAGGAATTAAATTAACAAAATAATGTAGAAACGTTAGATGGTCCTCTTCATCATGTTCTGGAATAAAAATCTTTTGTTAATATTTTTTTTGAAAATATAAATGCTAAAAATATTAGTAATCAACAATCTTACAAGTTAAAAATATTCCTTTTTTGGTTAAATTTAAGTATAAGTAGTAAAGTTTTTCTAAAATATTATCCGAAATTATTAATGAAAAATAAATATCTGTAGATGAGTGGCGACCTTCCGCTATATTCAAAAATGGATTTTAATAGTGTTGTAAACGAACGCGTTCATGAACGAAGTTAGTTTTTTTGAAAAAAATGGTGAACAGCGTTCCTTTTATTTTTGACGAACTTTGAACGTGAACGCGTTCCTTTTTTATGACTAACGCGTTCGAATTTAACGTTAGTTCAATTTTAAAAACACCTTTTATTTTTATTTATTTGAAAAATTTAATATTAATCCAAATTTTTATCAACTGTTTTTCCTTTTCATATTTCAATTTTTTTTAACATACCATTATTATAGTTGATTAATTTGAATATTATCGTTTATATTTTAATTTAATAGATTTGCATAAGCATGGAAATATTATTTCATCATCATTATCTGATTCTGAAAATTCAAAATCAGATGAATTAACATTACCATGGCCCAAATATGATAAATATTTTACAGTAACATCATATAATGAAGGAACTAATTCAATAATCAATACTAACCAAATGTAAAATGTGCCCAAAAAGTATTATATAGTTTCAAAATCTTCATATTCCAATTTAAAACGACATTTGATTGTAATATTAATTATTTATTCTATATAATATGGTTCCACGTCAATTCGGCTTGAAAATTTAGCGCGGCGACAATTCAGCGCAGCGTCAATTCGGCGCGTATCTATTACAGTTGCAATTTATTATAAATTACTTAGTATAAAAATATAAGGATGATTAAATAGAAGTCATTTTGAATGTTGGTATTATTAATTAATTCTTCATATTTATTTTTACAAAAATCTCAATTTTATTTAATATATTTATACCTAATGGACCAATTTACCATTCTAAAAAACATAAAATCCAAATCTCCTTTTTTTTTTATTTTTTACGCCTAACTATTGACAAAAAATTAATAAATATAATTATATTTTATTTTAAGATTTTCTCTTTTTGTTCAACAATTTTAAAGAATTCAATCATTATTTTTCTCAACAATAAAAATAAAAGTTTACATTCTAAAAAACACAAAATCCAAATCTCCTTTTTTAAAATTTTTTCCGCCTAACTATTGACAAAAAATTAATAAATAGAATTATATTTTATCTTAAAATTTTGTCCTTTCTTCCATTTTAAAATTTAATAAAGTTTGTAAAAACTTTATTTTTTTCTTTTCCTTCCATAATTTAATCTTTATAATTTCTTTCCATAATTTAATCATTATAAATTGAGAATTCCTGATAAAGGTAAATATTAATATTATTTCTGTATATCATTTATAATTTTTATACATTTATTTTTAAGAATGCCTTTAAAATATGTTATAAGTGAACATGGATCAAAAAAACTTGTTCATGATCAATACATATTCAGGAAAGAGAGAACTTCTTCTTCTCCGTTTTATGGCGATTTCCAGGTTTACCCGGGTAGGCCAGTTTTCCCTCTGATTTTTCTTTTCCATTTTTGACGGTCCTGAGCATCAATACTTGTAAGATTCATGCTTTTCATATCCGCCGCTATCAGATTTGTCCAAGTCATCTTGGGTCTTCCTCTAGGTCTTGATCCTCCTACTTCCATCATTGTGCATCTCTTTACCCAGTCATCTCTTGTCATACGTTCCACATGCCCAAACCATCTTAGTCTATTTCGTCGCATTACCATACCAATCATTTCTATACCTAATCTTGCTCGTAATTCCTTGCTAATTTTTCTCTCTCTCAGAGATACCCCACACATCCATCTAACCATCCTCATCTCTGTTCTTTCTAATTTGGCTTCTTGAGTTGCTTTCATTGCCCATGTTTCACCGGCATAAACTAAACAACTCCTCACACAGCTTACGTAAACTTTCTCCTTTAACTTCAGAGAAACTTTTTTATTTGTAAGAATAGACGACATCTCTCTGAACTTCTTCCAAGCTTGTCTGATCCTTGCAACAACGGCAGAATCTACACCACCATCTGCGTTTAGCATATCACCTAAATAACAAAACTTATCCACTTTTTCTAGGGTTAACCCATTGCCAATATACAGACCACAATTTTTTAGGTTATCATTATTATGTATCCCTTTCATGCATGTTTTACAAATAAAGGTCATTCTTTCTAACATCAAACTGCCTTTTTTCCCGCTACATCTTTTATGTACCCATTTCTGGCATCTGGTGCATTGGATAGAATTTCTAGCAACTCCTTTCCCACATACAAGGCCACTTACCGGATTCTTCCATCTTTAGATTTTCCCCACCAATCATCACCTTTGTTTTTGATGCATTCATTTTCAGGCCCTTTGCTTCCATAGTCATCTTCCATTTACTAACTTTATCCCTAAATTCTCCCTCACTGTTTGCCATTAATACAAGGTCATCTGCATATAATATCTCCCAGGGAAGTCCTTCACGCATTTCTCTAGCCACCACATCCATTACTAAGATAAATAATAATGGACTCAGCACGGATCCTTGATGAAGTCCTACCTTCACCTCAAAGCTGTCACTATCACCATAATCCGTCCGTACTGCTGTTTGTGCTCCAACATACATTGCCATCACTGCGGTAACCAACCATTCCTCCACACCGGATTTTCTCAAGGCCAATCTTGTAATCTCACGCGGCACCCTATCAAATGCTTTCTCCAAATCAACAAACGCATAATAGTGTTTCTTTTCCTTCGCAAGATACTTCTCCTGAATTTGTCTCACCACAAAAATTGCATCTGTCGTGCCTTTTCCCGATGTAATACCAAACTGCATTTCATCAATTTTAATTTGTTCCCTTAACCGCTATTCTAACACTCTCTCAAATACTTTTATTGCATGTTCCAAGAGTTTAATAGCTCTGTAAGACCCGCAATCTAAAGGATCACCTTTCCCCTTGTATACTGGGATAATTATACTTCTTTGCCAGTCCTCGGGAATAGTACCTTCTGTGACAATCTGATTTGCTAAATTCATTAACCATTCAATCCCTAAATCATCAGAACCTTTAAACATCTCTGATACCACCATCGTTAAACCCGATGCCTTCCCTATCTTCATCTTTTTCACTGCTCTCTTTATCTCATTCTTGCCAAATTTACACCCTGGACCTTCTACCTTTGCACAACTAATATTATTCCATTCATTTTCTTCATTCAAAAGTCCTTTCATGTAAATCTTCCAGGTGTTCTTAATACCATTACTATCAATCGTCATTTTTCCTTCCATATTTTTCAAACATTTTACACCTATCACATCCTGCCTCTTTTTTGACATCTGTTTTGCCATTCGAACCATATTTCCAATTCCATCAGCGCATTCCATTTCTTTAGCAAACTCGTGTCTTTTTTCTTCTTGAGCCTTTGCTATTAATTTCTTAGCATTTCTTTTAGCCATCTTGTAAATATCATTATCACTATTTTCTTTGCTATTATACCATACTTTGAAACACCTCCGTTTCTCATCCACGGCTTTCGCTACCTCCGGGCTCCACCACCAAGTCTCCTTATGTCTAGGCGGCCCTTTTGTCCATCCACATACCTCCTCAGTTGTCATTACCCAGGCTTTCTTCATGGCTTCCCACTTGTCATTCACCCCAGATGCTTGTGCCACCTCCGCCTCCCTAATCGCCAATGCCATATTGAATTGACGTCTAGCATTCTCCTCCTTCAATTTCCAAACCTTCAGCCTTGGGACAAACTTTCTTTTAGTGACCCTGGCACCTTTAAGAGTGAGATCTCCTACAACTAGTCGATGCTTGATATACATTCCTCTCCCGGTATCACTTTCACATTTTTTACTATACATCGATCACATCTCCTTAATAACAAGTAATCCACAGCACTTTTGGTACTACCCGACTTATAAGTCACCAGCTTCTCTGATTCTTTCTTAAACATTGTATTACAGACAATCATATCCATAGCATCACTAAATTCTAAAATCCTCTCTCCTTCCAAATTTCTCATGCCCTAACTGAACCCTCCATGCACTCCTTCATAACCCTCACTACTCGCTCCCACATGTCCATTCTGATCACCAGCCAGGATAATCCCCTCTTCATTTGCCAGTCTCGATGTCACCCCCAATAGACTGTCCCAAAATATATCTTTCTCTTTTTCACTTCTGCCAACCTGAGGAACATATGCCGAGATAATATTATATAGCTTCTACCAAAAATCATCTTGATAACCATTATCTGGTTGTCTAGCCTTCTCACTTCGACTACCAATTTCTCCGCAACCAATACCCCAACTCCAGCCTTACCATCATTACCCCTTGCCAAAAGAATTTATACTTTTCGCTAGTCTTGCCAATCATTCTGGTCCCATTTCCTTTCCATCTAGTCTCCTGTATGCAGCACACATCTATATGTCTTCTGTGCAATACATCGACGACTTCTCCCGCTCTTCCCGTCATACTCCCAACATTCCATGTCGCGACCCTAACTCGATCACCCGTAAACTGGTTTCTCCACTTTTAATCAGGTCGTTTATGGCCGTCATAAGTTTCATTTTCCTGAATAGTGGTTCCACCAGGTTTCCCATCCTTCTTTTTGTCGTAGGCGGATGAGGAGGCCCACGGGGTACTTTGGGCTGTATCCCGCCCATGCTTTGTTGTAACCATAAGGAACTTTTGTAGCAAGGTTTTTATAATCGGATGCCTTTCCTGACATCAACCTATTTAAGTGATTTTTACACCCCGTCGAGGAGAAGGTGATCCTATTCTAGACCCAGATCACAGGGAACCTTTTAGACCTCCATTAGCCGCCAAAAGACGTTGCCAATCCCCCGCCACGATGAGGCTGAAGGTAAAAACAATATGGAAATGTGTTGAGTCTTATAAATTATTGGAAGGTAGACCTACCCATTGCAAAGGGCGGTAAATGAAGAAGTAATTCTTCAAATCATAATCATGTGTTAGATGATACTGAGTTATTAAAAACCGAATGCTAAATCGCCCGATTAATGATTATTTAAGGGGGATCGCATATAATTTTAATTTACAAATATGTTTCTTTTAATAGCATGTTTTGTATAGTATATTTATTATTCTATATTCATTTTATAAATAAATAAAAAAAATTGTGCTTTAATTCATTTTTTTTTGATTTATATAATAGAAAAAAGCCTAAGCATAATATTTTTTTTAAGGATTAATAGAATTTAAGGATTTTTAATAAATCTAAAAAATGAGTCAGTCTTAATTTGATTTTTTTTGGATCATCGCTGGGTCTATTTTTAAAAACGGTCGATTTAAATTTTAGCCAAAATAATATTTAAGATTCGAGATAGAGGTCCAAACCTTTCTTTTTCTTTCTTTCTTCTATGCCCAAAATCTCGGCTTACATAACATTGGCTACTAATCAACATACATTATGTGATAAATTGGTCAACCAATAAAATAGGTATAAATATTGGTTATTAATTTTTTTTTGATATTACACATTTAGTAAATAAAATAGAGATTTTTGTAAAAATAAATATGAAAAAATAATTAATAGGGCCAACATTCAAAATCATTTCTATTTAATCATCCTTATTTTTTAATACTAAGTAATATATAATAAATTGCAACTGTAATAGATACGCGCCGAATTGACGCTGCGCTGAATTGTCGCCACGCCGAATTGTCGTGCGCCGAATTTTCCGCGTCGAATTGACGTGATACCATATAATATAAGTAAATCATTAAATTTGAAAAAATAAATACATTTAAGTTATTTGACCACAACAATAACGATAGTTATTTTAAAATTAAAAAAAAAATTAGTGGCCTAAATTATGGTCAACTATGGATAGACGCATTATTAAATAGAATTAATAAAAATATTAAACCTATTACTATAAAATTAATTACATATATTTTATTTTTTTAAAAATTTGAACATATATATGAAGATCAATATGTTCTTTCTGCAATTATACATCCAATATTCAAGCTTCAATAGCCATAGATAAAACTTCCTCAGAACGAACCCTAAAAAATAAACTTATAGCGTTATTGATGAAAAAATGCATTGAAAACTCTAGAAATGATAATGCAAGAACTGTTAATTTCGAGATATCCTTTTTTTGACGAGTAAGTAAAAGATGGATTGGAGGAGGATACCTTATCACAATTTTTTGAAGCAAGGACAAAACATGTTTTCAATAAATTCTCCATGTTAAAAGAGTTGTTTATTAAGTAAAATACTGCAAACCCCTCATCTGCCCCTGTAGAGCGCGTTTTTAGTATAGATAATGTCGTATTAACTGTTAAGTGTTCTGTCTATCAGATGAAAATTTTGAAAACAATTGTTATTAAAATTTTGAAAAACATAAAAATATCTTTTTATTCACTATATTATATTATATTTATAATTATATTATCAAAATAAAACTATATTATTTTTTAACATGGCGAATATATTGCGTAAAAAATATGACATTTATTTAATTTAATTAAAAAAAAATTATCATAAAATTGAACGAACCTGAACGCGTTCCTTTTTTTTTAAAGTGAACGCGTTCGATTTTTGTCTATGAATGTTGAACGCGTTCGATTTCTTTAGAAATGTTTAAAGCACTAGATGCTAATAATGGTTTACAGTTTTCGATTCAGTAATCATAAGTTTCCTGATTATATCAACTCGTTATTACATATGATGTTTCACTAAGTCTGAAAAATTTCGCATATATCCTTTTGACATATTAATCGATAAGTGATCAAAAATTTTTTAAAGTTTTTCTATTCTTTTTATTTTGACAAGCACAAAGATTAAAATAAAACAATTTTTATTAGCATGGAAACATAGTTCACATTGGCATTTCGCTCATTTTATATGTGTACGCCTTTACATATTAAATGTTTGTTGGGAACTGTCAATTAGATTCATGCGAATATCTTTTGAAGGTCCCAATCTTATTTTTATCTAAGTAAAATATAAATTTTCGATTATAGAAGAAGGAGCCCGCTTTTCATATTGAAGCTTCAATTTAACACATTGTTATGGTTACTTCTTGGCGAAATTTCGATAGAGAAAAGCAGGATTGTCATCTGATTTGACTTTCTCACCTTGAATAAGCCGATATAATAACCACGAATTTATAACTGCTACATCAATAAGGATGGAAGGCTCTTATATGTGACTCTTTGGATATAATTGTATTATGATACCTTTCAATATTTCTATCTAATAAATCAACCCCTCCCATATATATATATACTGTTTGACAAGCATAGGACATGAAGTTTTTCTTGGTGTTGTGGTCATATCTTTCAATATCACTCTAAATTCCCATCCAATTTTGATAAAAAGGTCACCGTTTTATTTTCTTTCCATACTAAGAAAGTTATGTCTACTCCTTCAATGTGTGCTATTTATTCAAAAGTTGGCCCTCTGATCTCTTTTTTCATTTCGCTCTTTGTGGGAAGCTCGCAATTTGGGATCATATTACTCCTTATGGTACTAAGATTCTATATACCTATAATATACTTGAAAAATTAAAGATAGAATAGATTTATTATACCCCTTTTTGCTAAATACATCAAAAGTTGTCAAATATAGCTTATACTTTTGATTGGAAGGTATTGTTTGGCTTAGTACAACAATATTGCTGGATGCTCCAAAATCTGGTTCTGTTGATCTTTTTTTCAGAATCATTTTCGTGCCAAAAATATAGTTAAAAGTCATAGGCAAATCCAGAAACATGACAAAGAATGCCAATCAAAATTATAGGCTATATTTTGACAATTACTATACCTCAATACTTTTGATTTATTAGGCAAAAAGAGGCATAATAAATCTATCTCTTTAATTTTTCAAGTATATTTATAGGCATATTATACAGTCATAGTACAGTAAGGAGGAACAGGATCCCAAATTGTAAGCTTCCTAAAGAGATGAATGAGATCAGAGAAATATCTTTTGAATCAGGGCAAACATCGAAGAAGTAGATATAATATCCTTATTTTTATCATAATTGAATGGTAAATTACCTTGGCGTGATATTGAAAGATATGACCACAAAACCAAGAAAGGACTGCAAGTCTTATGCCTGTCAAACTGTATAACATATATAAGGTGGGGTTGATTTATTAGACACAATATTGAAAGATCTCATAATACAACCATATCCAAAAAGTGGCATATAAAAGTCTTCCAACACCTTAATGATGAAGCAGTTATAAATTCGTGGTTATCATAACGGCGTAAAGGTGAGAAAGTCAAATGATAATTCTGCTTTTCTCTATCGAAAATCGCTCAGAAGTAACCAGGGACATTCAATGACAAATCAACTATGATTTGGCCGACCCCTTCGATTTTAGAAATTTGGTAGGAAAGATGAATGTAACTAAGAAATATCCAAAAATTTCCTAACATTTATATTTTTGAAGATATCAGGGTTTCAAAGTTTCAAAAATGACCTATTATCATTATCTACTTTCATTCAACTAAACATATCTTAAAAACCACATAATTGTAAATATTTAATTTAATATAAAATTACGCACAAAGATTATACCTTTAGGTAAATTTTTATTTTTTTAATTTCCGGTTTTTTATTTATTATATAAGAATTAAAAACAATTTTATGGAAATATTACCATTTTCAATTTTTATAAAAAATTTAGTAGACATTACTTCACTCCTCTTTTATATTTATAAAAAAATCAGTCGAGGACGCGGCCAGCTTCATCCTTAAAATTGATAAAAATGATTAAAAAAATGTATAAATATTTTCCCAAAAAGGAACGTCTGTGTATAAAATTATATATTATTCCATTTTTAATAATTTTTCTTAACGAATTTGATATAATTTAAAAATTTATTCATCTTGTAATTGAAAATAATAATCAACTGAGATACAGGGCCTCAAAGGTATGAAAAATTACGTGTTTCACAAACTGTAAAATTTTTAAATTGCTTATATCTCAAAAATTATTTATCGTAAAAATAAAATATATACTTCATTTTGTAGATTAAAAAATCTCTAAAGGTCTATCGAAAGAAACAAAAATTGGTACCAATTTGAGTCCTTAACTTCCGGTTTATGTTCACTGTATACGATGTGAAAACCCGGGTGATGCTATCGGCTTCCAAAATATGCATTTTTTTTACCAAAATTGAAAGTTTACATGTATAAAATATACGGCACTATACAAAATTATGGATAGTTTTTTTTACTAAACTTACCAATAACAGGATATTTTTTCATATTATTTAGAATTATCGATCAAAAAAGGCCTAATTTTTTAAGAACGGGCGGGCGGGTTAAAAAAATTTTTTAAACTATGGGCGGGTGAGGTGGGTGGGCGGGTTAAGAAAATTAAACAATGGGCGGGTGGGCTAAAAAATTAAAAATCATTTAAGTAAATATTAATTAAAAATGGTTCTTATAAACTTTTTGGATATTAAATATTAAATGTCCTTTTTTGGTATCATAAAACCTTTTTTGTATATTTAAAACTACTTTGGTGGAAACAACAAGAAAGAGATTTGCTTAAGCTATCACGATTAACAAGAAAAATATTGGCAATTCCTGCAACTAGTGCTTCTTCTGACAAGAATTTAGCATTGCTAGAATTTAGAACAAAGATGAACGTGCTTAAATCCAGAAAATGTCGATATTATTATTTTTACATTATAATTTCAATTTATATTTTTTCATAAGTATTTTATTTGATCAAATAAATTATCCATAATTTAAATTGAATATTTTTTATGCTTAATATAGAAATTTCCATAATTATAAAACTTCTTGTAGAAGTGTAATGCTAAAATATTTATATTAGATGTTTAAAAAATTGAAATAATGGCCATAATTAAATTTTATAATAGCGAGCTCAAATTTTTTTATAAATAATGAATGGGCGATTAAAATTTTTAGAATTAGCAGGCGGATAAGGAATTTTAGACTAATGGGCGGACCGGGTATTTTTTTTAAAACTATGGGCAGACTGGGCGGGTTAAATTTTTTATAAAAAATTGAGTGGGTGGGCTTATGGTTCAAAAATCCGCCCATTTACAATAGACCTTTAGATATTTATTGGCTACAAAATCATATATTTATTTTTATTATTTTTAAGATACGAGCAATTTAAAAAATTTTCAGGAGCAAAAATATCCAATTTTCCCAGCTCTGAAACCCTCTCTCTCGGGACAAGGTGTGCTAGCTAACTAAAATAAATGGCTCCCATTTTTTTACAGCAATTTTTAATAATTTCAAGAGGCCGACCGAATCGTGATCGATTTGAAATGGAATGACCGAATTTATTTCATCATTTGAAACTTCCATTGTATAATATTCGCTTATGTTATGAATAATCCTTTAAATTATGTCAAATACGTTAAGAAAACCCATTAAAAACTGATTAACATGTAATTTTTATTTACACACTTTTCTAATCATTTTCCTTGATTTTAAGGATGAAGATGGCCGCGTCTCAGACCGATTTTTTTTTATAAATATAAGAGTTTAGTAATGTCGTCTAAATTTATAAAAATCGTTTTTAATTCTTATATATTTAATAAAACGGCCGGAAATTAAAAAAATCAAGATTTTTTTAAAAATTATTTTAAGGTATAATCTGAATACGTATTTTTGATATTAAATTTGTCATTTACAACAATTATGTAGTTTTTAAGATATGTTCAAATGAATGAAGGTAGATAATGGTAAGAGTACGTTATTTTTGCCACGTTGAACTCCAATATCTATAAAAATTTAAGTGCAAGGAGGCTAAAATTTTGACTCTTTTTAGTTACATTAATCCTTCTTTGCTTACCAAATTTTAAAAAAATTGAAGGGGATCGGCCAAAAATCTCATTTTTTTGCTCATTTGATATGAAATGACCTACCACAGCAAGGTGTCAAATTGAAGCTACAATAGAATTGAAACGCGGACGTCTATTCTTTTATGCCTGAAAATTAATAGGTGATTGTTTATTTATTATTGTATTATATTTTCATACTTAGATAAAAAAGATGGTGACCTACACCTTTCGTGCCGTCAACAGATATTCGCCTGAATCAAATTGGACATTTCCTAGAGTGGATGACATTTCGATAAAGATGCAAAAATCCAATATGTAAAGGTGTTACACATGTAAAATGGGTGAAATGCCAATGCAAACTATGTTTTCATGCTAATTAAAATTGTTTTATTCAATTATCAATTAATATATTTTTTCAGGTGGTAAAGGGTTAAGTGGCAATTTAGAAAAAGGTGAAAATTTTTCTTAAAGGAAATAACTTCAAAAATTAAAGGTAATATTTAGAAATAGTTATAAGGATTAATTTTAATTGCTAATTTATATGATATATAAAAATATAATTAATATTTAAGTAATTAAACTTTTCTTTTATCAATTGATTGGCGCAGTGCTAATTTAGTTTTATTTCTTGTGGATCTATTGATCAAATCCCTAATATTCCGCCTGGATGATGGTTGAGTACTTGGATTAGCCCAATTACCATTGACATTATTCACGCATTCGTTTGGTGCTGGAGTAACTCCAATCATAATTTGATTGCCATCTATCACTAAAATTCTACTATTTTGCCGAAGGGCTTGTGTTGCTTGTAATTTTGTTTGGTATTTCAGATCAATCCAATTACCACATTCAGTTGCAAACTGATTATACATGAAATAAATGTCAGTTAAATTTTAATAAAGAATTGACCATAAATTTACAATTTAGTGAGTTATCTACCATTATATTAAAAATGATAGAGTATTGTTTTAATTAGGCAGTGGATGACCATTTTTGGTGTTGAAGGTTAAATGATGGGTAGGAGGTAACTCTATTTTTCATATTTAGGCCACTAATCTATCACCAGTTACTTATTTTATTTGAGCTAAGCGATTTTAAGAAATTTATACAAATATAATATATTAATCAGAGACCTGCAGAGGTTCTATTTGCTCAGTCTGAGGATCTTTTAAAAGTATATCATATTTATTTTTTTATATAATAATGGCGATTTAAAATATTTGGTTTTAAAGTATATAGCCCTGCCTGGAAAAAATTTTTTTTAGGGCTGGCCTAGATATATTTTAAAAATTAAATATGGCCCAGCTGCAGGTCTCTGATATTAATTATGTTTTTGATTTATATTTAGGGATGAAAAAAAACGTTTTTTTGGTTGAAAAACAAATGTTGTTAAAAAAATTTTTTTTTAATGCTACAATATTAATATTTTATTGCAAATTTTTGATTTTCACAATCATTTAATTAAAATCTTAAAATGCAACAAATTTAACAATATAAATAATATACAATCAAGCATTCATGAACATTCTTTCATTGAAATATAAATTTGATGCATTGAATTTTGTGAATAAGATGGTAGGGTATTGTTCATTGGCATATATCATTTTTGCTCAAGCATTTATTCATATACCTACATAGTTTATATTATGATCCTTTAGTCTGCTGATACTTGAAGATAAAATGTACTTTGAGCAAAAAATACATTTATAAATTCCAATATTTATATTTATTTCCTACAATAAAAAGTTTTTATACACATAATGAGATTAGTATCGTGTCATATTTTAATCGAAAGACTAAAAAAAATAAAATTTTAAATTAACTGATATATTTGTTAATTAAAAAAAATAGTTAGTTATAAAAATAATTGCTAATTTTTAAAAAAATTCAATATTCTCACCCAACTTTTAGCTAAATATTTTTGCATCTTTTAAAAATAAAATTTAATAAAATATTTTTATAATTTAAAAATAGGAGCAGATTTTAAAATATTTTTCTTTGTTTCCTTCAATGTTTTTTTTATCTTTTTTAAATTTCTTTTTATTGTTTTTTTTGAATATTTTTTGTTAAGAAAAACAGTTTTTTTCCATCCCTACTTATATTTCAAAATTAAAAGTTGTAAGATTTCTTTTTAACTTTGTAATCCAATATGTCACCATATTCTGAAAATGAAGATATTATATTATTTGTGTAAGTATTAGGATATCTAAATCAAATATAATTAATTAAATTATAAATTAATATTTACCCAAACACTCTGACCCAATATTCAGTCAATGAATCAAAACATGTAGGGAATATATTCTTGTTTTCAAAAGTTTGATTGAGATTTGAGCTTAAATTATAAAAATTATTAATGAATATAATAAATTGATTGCCTACTTTTGACTATTAAATATTGAATTACCTTTAAATTGAGAATAATCCGATTTTTTGAATGTATCTAATATATTTTAATGTATGATTTAAAAATGTATTCATATATTACTAGAGTTTTGATAATCTTCTGGATTATAAACAATTTGATCCTGAATTAGTATGTCAGCTATATTTGGATTTTGATTTGATAAATTTTCTTGAATATCATCAAAATCAGAGTTATTAAGAATTGGTGTAAAATCCAGGTTGCTTACAGATTCACTGTATATATCATCCTTCAACTCTCTAATGGGAGGTTTGTTCCTTTAAATAAGAAATGATATAGCTTCATGCATATTTTTTTTAAAAAGAAATCAAACGGAATGGGTTTCAGGCCTATATTTTTTACAAAAAATCGGGTTTGGGCTGGTCCAAAAAATTTGAGTCAGATCATGTTGGGGTTTGGAATTTTTTTTAATATATCTAAATTTATCAATTTTATGTTGAATTTTTGATGTAAAATAAAAATATTTGATTTTATTTATAGAAACTAAATGCCTTATAACAGATATCATTTATTTTGGGTAATTATAAAAATTAATTTATATATTAAAATAAATTAAAGCTGGGCCGGCAAAACTTTTTTAAAAAAATTTTGGGCTGGGCCTGAAAAGATAGGCTTAATGCAGATCACTAATACATTAATAACCCAGTCTTACAAAAACATCCTCAGCCCATAATAATCAATAAATATAGGTCTGGTACATGGCCCAAAAAGATATTGTTATACTTAATTCCTATTTTTTTAAAATCTAATATCACTTATCAAAAAAGAAGGGCATGACTAAAATATGAGCCCATGAAAACTACGCGGTCCCTATCAAATTTCTTTCTTTCTTTCTTTAAGAAAGAAAGAAAGAAAGAAAAATTTATATTATATAAATACAGAATCGGATTTAGCTTAATAAGATGAGTTAGAAAATGTTTTTTTTTATTTAAAAAAAATGGCAAATTAGTAAAATTTAAAAAAAAATTTAGTCAAAAAAAAAGAAATTAAATGTTTTTTCAAACTCTCAATAAGTTATAAATAATTTATAAACTTAGAATTAACATTTTTTTATTTCTTTTAATAGGTTATATGATTCTGCATTCATTTTTATATATTAAGCTTCTTTGATAGGGGGTGCGTAGTTTAGTCATGTATAAAAATAATTTTTTTAAAATTTTACTATGTTGCCATTTTTTTTAAATAAAAAAAATACATTTTCTAACTCATCTTATGAAGCTAAATACGATTCTGTAATAATATAATTTAAATTAAGCTTTTTTGATAGGGGACACATGGGGGTGCTCAGTTTTCGGGGGCATGTATTTTAGTCATGCCCAAAAAGATTAAAAAAGTCAGGGTGGGAAAAAATTCTCATGTTATAATTTTAATAAAAAGTTATTGCAGGAATAATTAAATTTAATGAATAGCAATAATTTTGTAGAGAATTTTTCAATTTCAACAAAAAAATTTTTTTATGGCCACTTGCAAGATATCATTTAAAAATATTTACTTTAAAAAATAGGAAGATGGAGGAGTTTTAAGATATGAGGTTTTGCGTTCAAATGTTTCTGGAGCAAATTTAATAGTTTTATTTGATTTAGGATTGGAAAAATTTATTTGTGAACAATCTGTAAGGTCTTTGTCATTTCTATTTGCAGGATTTAAGGTATTGTGTAATTTTGGATATATTTTTTTGACCTTTTTAAAAAAAATTTAATTAAAATTGAATATATTTTTAAAACTTGTTCATTAGGTGAAGGACCAAACAAATAATTAGGGAGATAATGCTTCTTAGTCAGTGCCTTGGATTCCATCCGTTTCGTATGAAGAAAAATTTAATTTAATGATTATTAGGTTTTTAAGATTAAATAACTGACAGCCTGCTATCTGACAAGTGACTTAGATTTAGAAGGTTTTAGGAATTAGTGTTGTAAAATCGCTTCAAAAATATATTACGCAAGTGTGAAGATCATGTCTTAGATGAGATAAAGGTTTAGAAATCTGTCAGCGAAATCTCGAAGCTTAGCTAATATTTTTCTGGGTAAATTTTGAGTTAGCCGTTTTAAAAAAATACTAAAATTGAGTGGTTTCCATCATTATTAGAATTATCAATGATTAGTATTGAGAGCAATTCTTTTATACCAGCTACTATGTCGATTGATTCATTTATTTTTAAAATAATTTAAAAATTCGTTATCATCATTTGACTTTCCTTTCCATCTTTTAAAGAATAAGTCAGGAGCATCATTAGCCTTCACAATCTCAGGGAGTTCAAAATTTTTTTCTAAAGTTATTTTCAAAATAATCTTCTTCTTTTTTTTTTTTTAGCTAACTTGTCTTTTTAGTTATTTATAAAAATTCAAAATTTTGAGGAGGCTCTTTAAATTTTAAATTTTAAGAGGATTCGAGCCCCTGCGCCCCCCCCCCTTTCCACATAGACTCTACCAGAATAAGTCAAATTGTACAGATCCTTGTCTTAAGATTTTTAGATAAAATTTATGTTACCAAAACTTTAATAGGCCGAATTCATTTTTTACATTACGGTGCCAGCATCTACATAACAGGATTTTCACTGGATGCAAACCCCCTTCAAAAACCTATGCCTACCCTTGCCTCCGCCCCGCTACAAAATCCCAATTTCACCTTTTTAATTATATTGATACTCTTTCAGAAAATTTAAAAAGAATAACTTAAATTATTTTATCTCTACTACCAACTATCGACATTTTGTGAATATAAAGGAGTTATTTTTTAGATAATAAATTCAATTAAAACCCCCATCATTTACAATGAATTTATTATTTTAGCATTATGAGCTTGCTGAAAATGTCTAAACCTTTTAAATTACATTTGAAAGGATAGCAGAAAGTTTTATTTGGAAAATAATGTTTATGATTGTTTGCAATATATACCATAGATTTGGTTGATGAATTGTATTTTAATAGGTCTATAATAAAAGTATTAATTTTTACAGCAATAAATTTTGTCCTATTTTATCTCAAAATTTAATAGATATCCCCCAAAAAATTTTATCCTCCCCCATTAAAGTCGCCTCCCCCCCCCCCCCCCCCCCCCCAAAAAAAAATAAATAAATAAATAGGATGCATAGGATATGATTATAGTCAAACACTTTCATAACCAGTTTTATTTGCGTCAGCAGTGCCTGATATTAGAGATAAGAGTTTTAATAGAAGGTTTAAATTTTCCAAACTTTTTTGTAAACTTAAAAATATAAAATCAAAATTATCCTGGCTTATGTCCGAACGTACATAAAATTTATTGGTCGTCTCTACAATGAAAACAGGGTATGATTGCCATATAAGTTTGTATTTAGCTTCACAGTGAATTAATGTCAAAGAATGAGCGATTTCTCGAATATTTTTATTGTTATTAACAGTCAAAATATATTAATTTCATCATTATCAGGTTCATGATATATTATTTCTAAATTAGTAATATATATCATGAATATCTGGAATATAAGAGTTTATTGTGCAGTATTGTACTAACTAGCCCATATTTATTTTTATTGGCTTTTATTTTCTTCATATAATAAAGATAATTATTATTGATTAATTTTAGTCACTTAAAATTTTTCCCTTTGATAGATTTTTGAATACAGGATGAATTTGTTATATTTTTTTGAATTAATAAATCTATATATTCTTTAATATCACAGTTCAACCATGACTATTGAAAAGTGTTGTGATCAAGTTTTTGATGTATTTTGAATAATTAAATGTCATCTGAATCAAAAAGAAAACTTAAATATAATAGTGCTTGATATGGGTTTCCTCTATAAAAAGCTAGGTACCTATAATATTAATGAATACTTTCTACATAGGCGTAGCCAGAATTTTCCTAAGGGGGAGGGTGGAATTAAAAAATTTTTGGGAGCTTCGCCCCAGACCACATTTTGGGCGGGCCTTCGACCCGTTTTTGTTCTGCCTTCAAGGTTACATTAGTCTATATATAGTCATAAAATATTTTTACAAGATAGGAGGTTTATTTTAATAAAAAATAAGCCTGGAACAAATATGAAATATATTTTTATTGGTTTATATAAAATACTATTAGATAGCCCGTCAAAAATGACGGGAATGAGAATTTTTTTTTACTTTTATGCTAGATGTTACCTGTTATTTGAAAATAATATCCAATTTTTTTTAAACCTCCTCCCCCCTTCAGACCAGGTTTAATCCATTAAAACTAAGTGTAAATACTATGGTTTGAGTAAAAGAATATTTAAAGCTTTTACTTGATAATACCAATATTATTTGTTAAATATTACTGATCACTTATACCTAATATTTAATATTAAAAAAAATTCTCAGGCAAAGTACAAAGCCATTATAATTTTGAAAAATTCTTCCAAGCCCAATGAAAGATCATAATAATTTTGGTAGTTGAGAACTGAAATAAAATATCTATATAATCATAATGAATTTAAAAATACAATCAAAATTAGATTTTCATGGGCCTTGGTTTTTTGATCAGGTCAAACCCAAGTCTGCAAAAAATTGTTTTAGGCCAATGTCTGACCCACAATTAATAATAAAAAAAATTATCAAGCGTCCAAGCTCATAATAATTTTGAAAAATTCTCCCCAAGCCCAGCTCAATTTAAAAATATTTCCCAAGCCTAGCTTAACCCATAATTTTATAAAAAATTTTTCTCAAACCTGACCAACCCATAGCAATTTTCAAAAATTTTCACCAAACCTAGAGATAGGTAAATCTTTAAAAATCATATATATTTTTATTCTATTTTAACCCAGCTCACCCCGACCAAGGCCAACCCATTAAAACTAAAAATGAAATACTATTTTTTCGAATAAAAATATATTTAAATTAGCTTTTACCTGAGGGCCATATAAATATTATGTGTTAAATATTACACCTATGCCTAATATTAAAAAAAATTCCCAAGCCAGGTCCTTGCACTTGAGAAAATTTTTTCAAACTCGCCAAAGACCATAATAATTTTGATAGTTGAGAACTGAAATAAAATATATAAAAAGTCACAATGCATTTAAAAATACAATCAGAATATGAAAGTTGAATGGGCCTTGGTTTTTGATCAGGCCTTGCCATGTCTTCAAAAGAAATTTTCAGGCCAATTTCTAGCCCATATTTAATATAAAAAAATTTACAGGAATCTAAGACTATAATAATTATAAATATGTTTCTCAAGCTATGTTCAAGTCCATAAATGGTGAAAAATATTTCCCAAGTCCTGGAAAACCCAAAATAATTTATTTCTACTATGGATCCAGAAAAATAGGTCTGATGTAAGGGGTTTATAAGAATTAAATCTGTCTAATATGTACATATTTATTTTGCCATTTTATATGGAAAATTTTTCAAAATCATCAAATGAAGGAATTCATGAATACATATTAAAATACCATGCTGAAAATATGTTCATCTTAACCCTTCAATACTCTGGTGGGGTATATGAAACCCCAGGCATGCTAGAAATGATATTACATAAAAACGGTTGAATATTATGATCTGGATTCTTCAGCAGCTTCATCAAATATATCTTAGAATCTATATTCCAAATTTCTTATATTTCGGTTGAGTAGTTTTTAAGATATAAGTATTTTGTGACTGATTGGGGTTTGTGAGACCCCACCAGAGTAATTAGTGTTCTATATTTTTTTTATATTTGAATGTATTAGTGTAATTTTTTTTTATATTGAAGAATAAAGATCCATATTACGAATTATCATGATTATATGATGGATAAGTTATTTTTTTAATTTTATATTTGAAATTTAAAAAAAGTAAGCTTTTTTTCGGCACAAATTATCCTCATCATCTTAATCTAGGCTTAAGAAATAAAAATATTTAAATATTTTATCAAGCTTAAGGTTAGATCTATCTTATATCCAAATATCAAATGAAAATAATTAATATTACTGGAGATATATACATTTGAAATTGGGGTCTATTAAACCCCACATGAGTACTAACGTCATTTTTTTCACCGGAGAATTTTAAACAAACCATAACCCTTCCAAATAATTTATTACTTAGTTACAAAATATAAAATTAAATATAAGATATTTATTAAATTACAATAGAAAAAAGATATGTCTTAGTTAACAAATAATAGGAGGTTGCTTAACTTCAATCATAGTCAAATTATATATAAGTAAAACAAAAAGTTTATACTATAATATGTTATGAATAACATACATTCTAAAATTATGAAGTTATGAGAAAATATACAAAATTTTCCTATCTTATGTGGTGTTATTTAAAAATTATATTTATTTGGGGATTTTCTAAAATTTTCCATTATTTTTATAAAATATGTTAATGAAGTATATATTTAGTAATTTTATTTATGTGTTATTCATTTGTGTTTGTAATTTATAATCTAAAAATTTATTTCTGCTAGATGAGAGTTTTGTGTTACCAAGGTGTGCTTTGTGACTTCCATTATTAAAAACCCTTAAGGAAGGATCCATTCCATAATCTAATAAATATTTGAATATAAACCTATATATCTTTCAATTAGGTAATTTTTATGCATAAGTAAATATTTGCATCTCTCTTATCCTTTCTGAAACCCCAATATAATGGTATAAAATTCTAAATTATACATAAATTTAAGAATTAAAATAATATTTAAATAAATCTCTTTTTCCTATTGAATTGGTACTTAATGCATTTAAAGTTCTACTGATCCCTAAATATTCAGAGATATGTATAATATTAGGTGTGTATTCAGTGCATTCAATGCACATTGTTGTTCTTCTGGACTGATATTTTTCATATAATTACATATGGAACTATGATATGCATTGATTTAGGAGGGGGAATAAAAAATGTTTAATTTTCTAACTCTAAAATAATTA